GCAATGTAGCCGTGGATTTAGGAATGGATAAAGGAATGGGGGTGTGGAAACATTTAAGGAGCTGAATCTAATTCAGGTCCCATCACTTGCAGTGACTTTGGCCTAAGTACTTAAACTTCTGCACCTCAGTTTCTTCCCCTGAGGATGACAGTACCTGCCTTTTCAGGTTCTGCCCTGTTGGGTTAACTCACGTAAAGTGCGTACAACAGCGCCTGGGACACAGGTCATACTCTTCCAGTGTCAGCTGCTGTCATGATAATTGTTGTATTTATTGGGTCCCAGCTTCCTAGGTAGTGACGTATTTCTCAAAGATTGGCACCTCTATCATAAATAGATACCACTCCTTTCTAGTATATACATAAAACTCTTTAACTCGAGGCGTTTTTTTTTTTCCCCTTTGTGTGCTTAACTACTCCACAGTGTGAGTTGGTGTGATCAGATGTACTTTATTTTCCTAACATGTAGCTTAGGCGAGAAGATGGGGACTGCTTTTGGAGAGAGGCTAATAAATTGGACTAGTGAGGACTCCTGCCCTCCAGAACGGGGTGACGAGGTAGAGGTGGACAGTGGATATTTGGAACGGGGAGTGGATTTCAGGGGGTCGAGGTCAGGTGGGAGGACAGAAAGCGGGTGAGGTTTTCAGAGACAGACACCGCCGTCTGTAGAGCTTTCCCTAATCTGGCGTGGCGCTTGAAAAGATGACACTTCTCCTAGCTTCAGAATCCCAGTTCATTTGCTGTGTTTCAGAAGTTTGGTGATAAAAGATCCATGTTGTATATCATTTATGCAGAAGCAACAATAACTTTTTTTTAAAATTGTGTCTTTTACTTAATCATTATTGACCTAGAGGTTAACATAGTTTTATTTTGTTCGAGTGCCTTAAATTAGGAAGGTCACGATGCCCTGGGCTCTGTCCGTGGCCACAAGTCTTCAGTGTGTCTTTCTCTTGCAGTGCGATTGTGCTCTGATCGGATCGGCCTCATCAAGGAGTGTATTTCCCAGTCCCCCACGTGCTACAGACAGTCCACCAAGCTTCTGGGCCTTGCTGAGTTGCTGAGGGTCGCAGGTACGTTTTAGATCCTAAAGTGCAGAGTAAGGGATCTGTGTTATTCTCAACATCATCCTAGGAAAACATTGGGATATACGCTTAACTGCATCAGGAGAGCTGCTTTGGGG